TTAACCAAAATTTGTAAGTTTCAAAACAAATAATTCTGCAAATATTGCAGGCAGAGTTGCAATAATTGAGATATTTGACTTTACAAAAAACTTTAACCAAAATTTCTAAGTTAAAAAGGGGCATAATTCTGTCAATATTGTAGACAGAGTTATCCAACTTGTCAATCTGATGTACATTGTTACTATAAGTAAGTATTGTAAGTTTCAATTGAATATCTCAAGCAATAATTGAGATATTTGAATTTACAAAAAACTTTAACCAACGCAGACGCCGTCGCGGACGCCGACGCGACTACAATAGCTCTCATATTCTTCGAATAGTCGAGCTGAAAATGTACATGATAAGCTGTGGGCACTAAAACAGATCATGGGGGCACTAAAACAGACTGTCACTCATAAGCAAAAGATGACTCAGAAATATACTCAGAAATAAATTGATCGTATATTTATGCTATTCTTTGCAGGATTTGAGTCTAAAGCATTACAAGCTTTTCAATTTCTGGTAATTTTTCACACAATTAAAATAATTATTCTCGAAAAGCGTACTGAGCAAAATTAATGATCTTAAATTTTGCACACATATGATCTGTAGACTATACCTACATTGTACATCAAATGAATAACTTATTTTAAACTCAAAAAATTTATTTCTAGTCCCATCAATGATCATGTCAAAAAAAACTCGGTGGAGTCCCTGTTTCTAGTAATTTTTGTTTAAAAATCTTAATCATAACTTTTTCTTTGTTTTATGTTTTGTAATAAAGCATATATAACATGTATGTCATTTGACATTTTGATTTTCCATGATATTCTGAGGCATACAGAGAGATGAATGATCTAAGCACAATTTTAGATCAACTTTTTTCACAAGAAAAATAATTATTTTTGAAAACAGACAGAAATGGTCTAATATTTTAACTGGTCCAGAACTGGTTCTCAAACTTATTCCCAGTTCCCACTTGTCCCTCCATCCCTTTATTACCAGTAAATAATGTTAATCTTATAATATTGTTGAATTATTATTTAAATAAAGCAATAAAATAAAAATACATTTAAGGTCACATTTTTTTTTCTTTTCAGCAATTTGAGAATCATGAAAATTTGCGTCATCATCTTGCAAAATGTTCATTTTCATTTTTTAAAGCTGTCAATTATGTCAAATTAAACCAAATATACACTTGTTCCTTTTGTATAACAAAAACATTATTTTTCCAATTAATCATAATAGATACTTCCCATGTGACCTGTGTTGTGTGTTCTGGTAATTACTTTATCAATCAAAATTGATCTTCTCCAAACTTTTTTTTTCCATGATTGTTGATATTATGTATATATGTTTATGTCATACACTGTTCGCTATTATGCATGATTTATGTCCTCATGGGCTTTAAAGCCTATTGGAATAAAATAAAATGTCTACCTGTCTACCTGTGATCAAGGTCTCCATTTTTTACTAAATAAATACTTTGAATTAACGTTTACATAGTTACATGAGACTGTCATGCTCATCAGTAATTCATTGAATTTTCACTTTTTCACAATTTTCAGATTGAATGTGAATATGTCTAGTATGAAAATGACTGATCTTAATATGTACATTGAATAATTTGGCTATTAAATAATATGAGAAACTATATAGTCCACTGAAAACCCTGGCAAAGATCTAATCAATAAAAAATTAACATGTTTGTCACTTTGTGTTATGGTATCTTATCTATCAGAATTATGCTGAATCACAAATGTGGTAAATCACACTGTTAAAATGATTGAGGTATGTGATAATGAAAAAACATCTCTCACTACTTTGAGCAAAAATAGTAATAGCATTATAATTCACAAAGAAAATCTATCTTAACACTGTTTTCTGGTATTTTTGTTTATTCCAGATGTTACCTCTGATGAATTCACCTCAATGGTGTGTAATAGCACTAGTGTGTTTTGGCTTTTTTTATTTAAAATGATATAAAACAATTTGATGTTTAAATATTTTTATGCATTTTAATTTCAATTTTTTCACAAATAAATGTTAAAACACCACAAGTTTACTCAGAAAATGTCTCTGTTTATTATTGCAGGTGCTACTATTTTATATATTGATTGTCTTTATTATCAATTAGATTTTTGTATATTTTGAGATTAAAATAAATGGTCATTGAACAGTTATTAATTTTTATTACATAATAAATAGTAATAGAAAAATAGGAATATTACGTAGTAAGACTGAATACTGCATAAGGTGTAATCCTCCTGAGCTGAATCAGTAATGCACTAGAAAACGGTGTTTAGCTAGGTTTTCGAAAAGGTCAATTTTTACATGGCTTAGACAAATCTCATCTGATTACATTCTTCAATTTTTATTATTTCAACTCAACTAAGGAATGATTTTAGCAATTCTACATAAAAGCCGCGACAAAACCAACATAGTGGTTTTGTGACCAGCATCTGCGCAGTCTGATCAGGAACCATGCTGTTAGCTTACAAACCCTATAACAACTGATAGCGAAAAGCATAGATCCTGATCAGACTGCATAGATGCACAGGCTGGTCTGGATCCATGCTGGTCGCAAAGCCATATGTTGGTTTTGTCATGGCACAGATCATATTATTAAATAATCTTGAGACATGCTTCTAAGATTTAAGATGTACAATGCCAATATTGAAACACTTCTTCAGAATGATCAAAACTGGGAAATCTTTGAATATGTCTAATTTTCATAAGACACTACACAAACTAATTTTGGGAAGCAGTAATCCCTAGTATAACAAGTCATGTTAATTTGGTATTGTGTTTAAAATACTGCTAGTTTTTTAAAGACACTTTGCATTCATTTTTCATTTACCTAAAGTGTGCTGAGTTTAAAACATATCTTCTCTAGGTGTACTTAGAATGTATGTTACAAAACACCCATAAACACTTTTCATATAACCAACGTAAATAACTGAAGTATATTGAATGAAAAAATATGAGTTGTTTCCCTTATCTTTGAGTTAAATTTGTATCTCTTACGCTAAAACAATACAATTAAGCCATTTTTAAACTGCTAGTTTGTTGTCATTAAATGTCCGATTTTAAAAATTATTACATCAATGGAAAGCTTTGTATCTTAGCTTTGTCAGGTATATAATTTTACATATCTTTTGACACCAAAGTATTTAAATTAACTGTTTAACCTACCATATGTCAACCCATTTTACATATGATTTATACAGTGAGATACGCAACCAGTTATCTTTTCTCGAAGAATAGCCTGTTGTCTGCTAGACGGGGAATGTGTTTATCAGTGTATTAAAGAGACTGAATCTAAATAACCAGCACTTTCATCTATCAATTTTGAGTATAACTTGTTTTTAACAGTGATTCAAGGTTTCTTTTTTTCTATTGCTTAAAAATATTATAAATGAAACCTATGGTCTAGCATATCCTTTTTCTTTTCTTTTTTATAATCTTATCTAGCAATGCTTCTTTGCAAGATTTATCTATTCAATAGCTTGTTTGAAGTCAACTGACATTTCAAAAACTTAGCTAAACACTGTTTCTCTGGAATGTTTTGGATTAAGCTCTGGGGAATTACACCTTATAAAAAACGAAATAGGCAATATACTAATTTTTTTTTTAATTTTTAACCATTTAAGGTGGAAAAAATAATTATGTTAGTTCCTTTACTATCTATCTCAAATTTAAAAAAAATTAAATTGTTTATAATGAAAATCTATAAATATAAAACAGTTGTAGTCACAATATAATTTTTTTATTTGTGTGAACATTAACTGGTGTATTTAACAGGTATAAATCTATATCTTATGAAATGTTTTAAAAAAATTAATTTTACTCAATTTTAATTATATTGGTTCCATTAATATATAGTTGATTACAGAAAAAGTTGTAACATAGAACATGTAGCAATGATTTTGTGCGTGTGTCATTTGCCTTTAAGGCAATAAATGACCATTCTTATTTTATACAAGCATTTTTGAAGTATACTCTTTGGAAGATTCAAACAATCATTTTTGCATCAGACATATCTTTGTTCAATTCAAATAATTTTTTTTTCATGGAATTTAATTTGTTCAATGATATAATCATTTTCTTAAAAAAATCTACTATTTTTATTTCATTTTTATCCAAAAAAAAAAAGAAGCCAAAAAAAACCCCTCCATATTGCTCTTTTTTTTTCAAAATCTTAACATGAAACATTTCTTTGAAGGATATATAGCTGACATCTAAACCTACTTTTATAACCAAAATACAAAACAGTGCAACTACACAATTACTGTAAAATTAACAGATTTACATTAAGAAATAATTCATTTAAACTAAAATTTACTTACCAGTTTTGTAAGACTTCTTTTTGAATTCTTGCTGCAAAACTTTTTCACTGTTTAATATTTTTTACAGTTTTAAAATTCCCCGTTAAATGAAGATATTATAAGCCTCCTGTTAATGTGTAACAGCCAATCAAAACATTTCTCTGACCTGATATTATCCAATCAGAGAAAATGCATAAATTATGCAAATTAATAGGGGGCCAAAGAAGAACTTCAAAGGTGTGAAAAAATGACATAATACACAGTTGTCTCCTTTGATGACAAAGATTGGCAGATTAGTAGACAGGATGGGGGTCTCAGTAAAGACATGACATCATATAAACAGGAAGACAATGGTGTTACATGAAAGGGTGCCTACTATCATAAAATTTTTGTTTAAAGGAAATTGGAGATGCCAATTTACAAGTTGTAAACACAAGATACTTTTTTTACAGTTAATATTTAAAATTAAGTTCAAAAAAAAAAAAAAAATCAATTAATTTAAAGAAGAACTCTGTCATTATATAAAAAAATAACATGCTTTAGGACATAATATTATAGCATAAAATAAATTTAAAAATAAATATAAACATGACTACAATTTTTCAAAATTATCCAAGAATTGCCCTCTTTTTATATACATATGAAACACTAAAATATCAAATAAAATAACATTAAGAAGCTGCTTTACTCACAAATAATAGAGTTTTCCCTCTGCCGGAAGAGCAGTCATTCTATAATCTATCCCTGAATCTAGACATAGTACCTCACAATTTTTCTGTTTGAAGAAACAAGTATAAAAACAAACTTTTATTCATTACTGCAGTATTACTCAAAGATGTTAACAGACTGAGAAAAAAATCAAAAATTATCAAAACTAGCTGATGAAACTATTAAACAATTTCATTTAGCTATTTGAACACTTGGCCTACTGAGTTAATAACTTTTAAAGTGGAAATAGACATAAATTTTTATTTTATGGTTTCTAGAAGTTTTGTAATATTAAATTTTGTTATTTATTTATTTATCTTTTTTTATGAAATAATTTGTAGAAACAATCAAACCTTTAAAATCCCTATAAATGGCACAAAATTTGCTCTCTGTAAACCATTTTTATACAAATCTGAAAAAAAGAAAAGAAAAACGAAACTGTAGAAAACAAAGGCAAAATCTATAAAATCTACAGCTTTTTTGTCATACTAAGCTTTTCTGTGCTTTTCTTACATATGGATGTAAAATATATGCATATTGCCAACCTTTCTTTACTTTACAATACAATTTAAACAATAATTTTACAATTGTATTATAATTTAACATTGTTTTTTTTTTAAATAAAAAGATTAATTAAATAACATTTAAAGTATTCTTTCACAATTTAAATTCATGTATATTATAAACAATAAAGGATATTGTGCAGAATGGAACTGTCTTGTGATGTAACAGCAAATTAATTTATTATTATGTTTAATTTTCATGGCGAAACATTAAGGATACAGACAAAAGCCCCCTGGACAAAAGCCCCCAATCTTAAAATGATAAGGTGGACAAAAGCTCATCCCCCTATGAAATTTACAAATAGGACAAAAGCCCTCCTCCCATCAAAACTACAGGAAAGACAAAAGAATAATAGTTGTTGAAATATGAATTTTTTTCAAAATGGCTTATATAAAGTTTTTTTTTGATATATATGATCAGTACATGTGCTGGGCTTGAGGGGGGGGGGGGGGGGGCTTTTGTCCTACCTGTATTTTTGATGGAGGGCTTTTGTCCTATGTGTTCATGGGGGTGGGGGGCTTTTGTCCACCTTGCCATTTTTAAATAGGGGGTGGGGCTTTTGTCCTACACTCGAAACATTAATATAGAGAAATAATATAAAGAAATGTCTGCAAGGGTAAATGTCTTTCATTGCAAACTAAGGAGGCAAATGTCCAAGAATCAGTTAGAAATGATATTTTCATTCATCTACAGTAAAGCACATTTCATAATCCTGTAATTTACTTATTTTTTAACATACCATCGGGTGCTCTATTTGAGGTTGCTACAACAACAACACCATTGTTCAACAGCTCTGTAAACAGCCTCTTCAGTATCATTGCATCTGCTATATCTGTAACCTATGGCAACAAAAATTATAATAATTATACAGTTTGCTACTGTTCTGATATATTTTAGATTTTACAAGTACCAACAATTAGTGTAAGAATTCAAATTTTCCAAATGACTTTTGAATTATCACATTCTAATCTCATTACAGAAAAAAGCAGAATAAGTAAGCAAATAAGCAAGAGCCTCAGAACAATGATGAAAGTCCATCATGACCTACCACTATACTGCTTTGGTCATAAGCTATTGTTTTAGTTTGGCTGATATAGGAATTCTTCATGAATTATTAAGGATCATCTAGTTAGAACAAGCATCCATTTGAAAGCTGGCTGGATAAGTTTTTCACATGTAACAGTTTCGACATACTTGGGGGAGGGGATTCCAACCCATAGCAGTGGATGGCTAAAGGATTTAAAAACAAGAGCTGTAAGAAAGATATTTTGCTAGACTATACTCAGTGCTTGATAGTTAAACTAGCACTTTGATAATGTAGGAATGAACAAAATAGAAGATTTCATTAAAAAGTATCTGACATATTTATGAGTCTTGGTTACTGACCAAAGAATTTTTTAATTCTTTGGCATGAACTACATTTGAATTAATGGTTTTTCATTTGAATGATTTCTTAATTTTTTTATTTTCACATATGTACATATTTATTTAATAGGAATATTCTTTATTACTGCCAGATATCCTTGTTTAAAAATGCATAATTATTATTATAATTAATTAATGAAATATTTTTTAATTGTTCTTTCTTATATTACACACATGTTTTATTGATGTAATTTGATATGAATTTGATATAAATAGAAAATGTAAAAAAATAAAATAATGAGTTATATTATATTAAGATATATGTATATTATATGTATTTTTATCCATCAAATCTTGCCCAATAATTAAATGTGGTGGTGTTTTGTCCACTCAAAATTTATGTGTGGTTTTGTCCACTCTATAAAATTTTGAGGTGTGGGGTTTTGACTGGTGGGGTTTTGTCCGTCTACCGGAATGTAGGACAAAACCACACCAGTCATAACCCCACACCTCAAAATTTTATAGAGTGGACAAAACCCCACACCTAAATTTTACCGAGTGGTCAAAACCCCACACATCCAGTTTTATAGAGTGGACAAAACCCCATCACCTTAAATTTTTTGGAGTGACATTAATAACAAGAGCTGTCACAGGAGACAGCGAAGCTCGACTAATAAAATACTGGACGCAGTAAGGAGCACAAAACTATGAAAGAAAAATCAATTATGTATAATTATGTATTAAGTTACATGTATAGTAAAAAAATAATATTTGTTAACATAAATTCCATGATCAAGGGGTATAATTCTAGAAATAGTCATGCTAGAGTTATGGACCTTGTCACACAACATTTGTGTAATGATAAGAAATATATATTTGAAGTTTGAAGTAGATACCTTAAAAAGAAAAGAAGTTATTATAATTCTTAAAGAAAATCCTAAGTTCAAAGAGAGATAAATCAGTAAATATTGCATCAAGAGTTATGAACAATGTCACATAAAATGTAATTGTTGATAAGGAATAAGTATTTGAAATTTTAGGTAGATACCTTTAAAAATAAAAAAGTTATAATAAAAAATAACATTTTTCTAGTAAAAGATTCTAAGTTTATGGGGAGATAATTCTTGCAATATTGGTGCTAGAGTTATGAACCTTGTCACATAAGATGTGGATGATGATAATGTAAACATATTTGAAGTATGAAGTTGATCCCTTGAGAAATAAATAAATAACAGTTAAAAAAAATATTTTTTATGGAAAATTCTAAGTTCAAAGGGAGATAAATCTGAAAATATTGGTGCTAGAGTTATGAACCTTGTCAAATAAGATGGGGATGATGATAATGTAAATATATTTGAAGTATGAGGTTGATCCCTTACGAAATAAAGAAGAAACAGTAAGAAATAGTACTTTTTGAGGAAAATTCTAAGTTCAAGGGGATATAAATCTGAAACTATTGGTGCTAGAGTTATGAACCTTATCACATAAGATGGGGATGATGATAAGGTACATATATTTGAAGTATGAGGTTGATCCCTTCAGAAATAAGGAAGTAACAGTAAAAAATAGTATTTTTTAAGGAAAATTCTAAGTTCAAGGGGAGATAAATCTGAAAATATTGGTGCTAGAGTTATGAACCTTGTCACATATGATGTGGTTGATGATAAGGAACATATATTTGAAGTTTGAAGTTGATACCTTAAGAAATGACAAAGTTATAGTGAAAAATATTTTACTGCACCAAAACTTTAATCTAAAATCTGGACGCGGACGCCGACGCCGGGGCGAGTAGGACAGCTCTCCATATACTTTGTATAGTCGAGCTAAAAAGTATTTGACATGAACTACATTTGAATTAATGTTTTTTTCCGGAATCATGCATGGAGTTTCAAGTCAATATCATCAGTAGTTTTTTCAAGAATTACATAATAAGCAAAACTTATACCAAAAATTCCTACAAAGGGCAATAATTCAGTTAAAATTCATATCAGCATTATGGACCTTGGTTAATGACATCATTAAGTATGAAGTTAAAAGCAAATACCATAATGGTTTAAGAGGATATGAAGTACAATAAGTTGCAAATTAAACTATAACCAAAGTGTTACATTAATGCCTAGGTCAGAAGGAGTTCTCATCCTTTTCCTTCAGCTGATATTCATAATAGAAAGAAAACATACACAGTGTACACCATAAAATGTGATACAAAAGTTATCATGACAATGATAAAAACATTACAAAAGATGCTGCCCTTACAGAAATTATTGAATAGCATATTTCAATAAATTATCAACAGGAAAGTCATTGCTAAGAATTCATGTAACTAATAACCAGTGCGCATCCTTTTCCAATTAAGTATACATGTACAGTCAAATCATATACAGAAAACCTGTCATCCAAGGACAACTTTTTAGAAAACGTCATGTTTATGTGTTGCCTACACTCTAAAAGCTATGGATTTGAAACTTCATAGGATGATAGATCTTATTGAGAAGAAGAGCAGTACACAAAACGTGCACTCTGTACTTCGTGATTTTAGAGTTATTGCCCTTTGTTAATTATTATACTTTACTTTTGTACGGGCAGATTCTCCAACACAATAGAAGCTATTCAAGCTACAATCAGTTCAAATTCCACTAAAGAACATGTACATTATAAGAGTGGTATAAGAGTGGTGTTCATAAATAACCTATATTAAAGAATTATATGCCTAAGTGACAGCTATATTGTTCACTAGGCAACACATCCTACTTGCGAAGTTCTAGTTTGGTGCTAAATATCAATTATCAACAAGCCTTGAGGTTCATTTAAGTTTTTCCTTTGTTGTTGGGTTTTAAGTCAACACCAAAACTATAATGGTCAAGCTAGTTGGATAGTTTCCTAACATGAAAGAATTTTAAGTCTCTAGCAGGATCCGAAGCCATATTTAGGTAAGTGGTTTAAAGTCAACAACCTTATTCATTGAAGGTACCAACAGATCAAACATTTTTACAAATCACTCAGCAGACCAAGAAACAGTATGTAAGAGTCATTCAAGGACAGAAGGAATACCATAAAAGCATTTACATGGTAATGGACCTCTGAAAAATTTGGCAGCTATCCAAAAACTCCATAGACAGGTTTTAGAGAATGTAATTTGACTGAGGTATACAATAATTCAATAATACTAGCAAAGGTATGAAACATTTATAAAAGCTGTATATGTCACCAAAAATTTATTCTGACTATACAATCAAAATAAAATATTAAAGCTGAAATAAATTGAAATTTTGTTTGCTCATTCTATCAAGCATTGGGTAAGAAAGCAGGATTTCTTGCAGGTTTTATCATTTGAACTGTGCCTCCTTAGCAACAAAAGAACACATCTAAGTTTACCAATTGCTAGTACCAGTAAAACAAAATTAGCACATGGAATATTCTGACTAGTTTCAAAGGCATAAACAGACATTGCCTGCCCCCAAAATAATGCCATATTTACCAAGAGATTATGATTAGAATTATTAGCAATTTTGTTACAACAAAGCTTCATTGTATTATCATTTTTGATAATAAACAATAAAATTTAATCAATAATTATATTACAAAAAAAATTTTTCACAAAGAAAAATGCTGAACTAAACGTTGGACCTGATTTTCATACATAAGTTATGTGCTTAAACTCAGATGGTTGTAACTTTAATATTGCAGCTCAAAAATAAAAGTTCTGATAATTTGTAGCATTCCTGAAACTAACCTTAAACCTTTCTGACATGACAGAATCCACTCCCAATTAGTGGCCAGTTATTCAATTAATGGCGGTCAAAGACTTGATTAGCCACAAAACATGATCCATAACATGTATACAGACAATAACCAAACTTTCCAACATCCAAGAAAACAATTGTGTAATTTCTGTCAGTAATGACAAAAGATTTTCAGGAAATACATGTATATTATGTACATTTATATGGTCTTATAAATCTAGAAACAAAAGCAAATTAATATGTGCTCAAAGGGGGTGGGGGCATGGGAGCAGGGGGGAAAGGTTCAACAAGACTGCCAAAGCAATGAAAGCCCCTTTCCGCAGCTGAAATTTAACCTTACCTGTATATACATACATACTAGTACCATGTCTGAAAATTGGTATCTTATTATTCCCTTTTCTTCAATTATCAAGGAAAATAATTTTAAATTTTCTCTTATAAACAAAGTTACTCCCATGACACAAAAAGTGAAAATAATCATAAGATCACACAATTCTAAAAGCAAGCTTTTTACAAACCCAAGTTTTGCCATATTTTTCAAAGTAACACATAACAAGAGCTGTCCGTAAGACAGCGCGCTCGACTTTTTTATTGCTTGCCAATAAAAAAAGTTTTTGCAGTAAAAGGCAATACAAGAATCTCTGTATTTTTAAAGTGAACAATGGCCATGAGCATTAAGATATTTAGTGAAGAATTATTTTACTGAATTGTGTGATACCCTTGAACACTGCAGCAAAGTTTGAAATGTTTAAGTCAAAAGAGGGCTGGTAAGAAAGAAAAAAAAACTGAGTTGAGCCTTAAATAAATTTAATAGTATTAAACCCACTTTGAGAGAATAAGGTATTTTTACGTCACTCAGAACACCTTGGTAAATGACATAATAACATAATTTTTCAAGAAATCTATGCCAAGGAAGCAGTATATTTTTGTACAATCAGCATAATATATAGATTTGAATTTTTTTTAGATTTTTTAAGTTTTTTAGTGCTTGCCTATAATACAAAACATTGACAGTTAAGGGCCATAATTCAAATAAAATCTTTGACAGAATTACCTTCTCCTGGACATGTTTGGGAATCATGATTGTAAACAAGTATTCCAACTTTCAAATTAATATCTCAAACAGTTCAGTCAAAAAGTGGACTGGTACTAAAAACTTAACCAAGATTCTAAGTCGATAAAAGGCCTTAATTTTTAAAACAAATCCTTGACAGAGTTACCTTCTCTTGCGTACAGATGGGGGTAATGATGTGAAATAGCATTAAAAGTTTCAAAGCAATATCTCAAAGGGTTAAGGCAATAAGTGGATTTTACCCATATTCAATGTATTTTCTAAGTCAAAAAGGGGCATAATTCTGTCAAAAACCTTGACAGAGTTATGTCCTCTTGTCTGTTGATGAAGGTCGTGATGGTAAACAAGTATGGTCAGTTTCAAAGCAATACCTCCAATGGTTTTGAAATAAAGTGAGGTGGTACAAAAAACTTAACCAAGCTCAATACACTTTCTAAGTCAAAAAAGGGCCATAATTCTGTCAAAAACCTTGACAGAGTTATGTACTCTTGTCTGTAGATGGAGGTTATGATGGTGAACAAGTATGGTAAGTTTCAAAGCCATACTTGTAATACTTCTGAAATAAAGTGGGGTGGTACGAAAAACTTAACCAAGGTGTGACGCCAACGCCGACGCCGACGCCGGGGCGAGTAGGATAGCTCCCCTTTTCATAGAAAAGTCGAGCTAAAAATAGCATAAAAGTGTCAAAATCAATGACAAAGCATTGTACTGTTTAAAAGTGCAGATGATATATAATATTATTCCAGCATTCAAAGCAATAACTCAAAGGATTAAGTGAAAAAGTGTTTCAAAGCAACAATTCAAAGAATTCAGTGAAAAAGTGTTTCAAAGCAATAACTCAAGAATTCAGTGGAAAAAAAAATTCAAAGCAATAACTCAAAGGATTCAGTGAAAAAAGTATTTCAAAACAATAATTCAAAGGATTAAGTGAAAAGTATTTCAAAGCAATAACTCAAAGGTTTCAGTGAAAAAAAAGTATTTCAAAGCAATAACTCAAAGGATTAAGAGAAAAAGTATTTCAAAGCAAATAAACTCAAAGGATTCAGTGAAAAAGTGTTTCAAAGCAATACTCAAGAATTCAGTGAAAATAAAATTTCAAAGCAATAACTCAAAGGATTCAGTGAAAAAAGTATTGCAAAACAATAATCAAAGGATTAAGTGAAAAGTATTTCAAAGCAATAACTCAAAGGATTCAGTGAAAAAAGGATTTCAAAGCAATAACTCAAAGAATTCAGTGAAAAAGTATTTCAAAGCAATAACTCAAAGGATTCAGTGAAAAAGTATTTCAAAGCAATAACTCAAAGGATTCAGTGAGAAATAAAATTTCAAAGCAATAACTCAAAGGATTCAGTGAAAAAGTATTTCAAAGCAAGAACTCAAAGGATTCAGTGAAAAAGTATTTCAAAGCAACGACTCAAAAGATTAAGTGAAAAAGTATTTCAAAGCCGCAACTCTAAGGATTCAGTGAAAAAGTATTTCAAAGCAATAACTCAAAGGATTCAGTGAAAAAGTATTTCAAAGCAATAACTCAAAGGATTCAGTGAAAAAAAAGTATTTTAAAGCAATAACTCAAAGGATTCAGTGAAAAAAGTATTTCAAAGCAATAACTCAAAGGATTCAGTGAAAAAGTATTTCAAAGCAATAACTCAAAGGATTCAGTGAAAAAGTATTTCAAAGCAATAACTCAAAGGATTCAGTGAAAAATTATTTCAAAGCAACGACTCAAAGGATTAAGTGAAAAGTATTTCAAATCAGTAACTCAAAGGGTTCAGTGAAAAAGTATTTCAAAGCAATAACTCAAAGGATTCAGTGAAAAAGTATTTCAAAGCATAACTCGAAGGATTAAGTGAAAAAGTATTTCAATTGAGAGAAAAAGTACGGTCTTACAAAAATTAAAACAAAGGTTTGATTTTGAACACATGCAAACTTGTTTTTAAAAGGAAAAGGGTTAGTTATAGAACTAGATAGCCAGCATGCTTATATTAATGAAAAAAATATCTGAAATTAATGTGCATTTATGAAAAAAAATCCCAGAAATTCATCATATTCATTACTGATAAAAAGCAAAACAAGATGGCCTGAATTTAAATACATAAATGTAAAGGTTGCCTGAAAATCATCATATATTTTAATCAATAAACTAACCTGAAATTCATCAAAGCATAGAAGCCATGTATTATCACTAATACTCTCAGCCACTGGAGGTATGGGGTCATACGAGTGCAACTTCTTAATATTCACTTCCCGTGGCAAAGATTGTTTCCAGCTGTGAATTTCTGTAATGGATCTTTTCAATTAAGTACAAAATTGATGCCTTGAACCCTTCCCTTACTGATCTTATTTTTTAATGGATTTGTTTACGTTACATTTAAAATAAATAAATAGAATTGTCAATTGTCAATTTCTGGGTCATCAAGATAAACTAGTCAGCCACCAGGCTCTATCCTGCTGACAAAGCCTAATTGTTTTTGGTTCCAGCAAGGTAATGATTGAAAGGGTAACAACATTTGAGCGACTTGGTTTGACCTAATAAATGCTAAACTGATCTTTATAATAATGTAAAACAATACTGTAAGCATTGCAGAATAATCTAAAATGCTTTCATATAAGTGTCACAAGTAAAAGAAGAAAGCCACTGTCATTTTTATTTATTTATGAATGTTTTACACAAAATGCACAAGTAAAATTATTATGTGTCACTGGGTCTTCAGTCAAAAGTGCAATATGCATCACTTAAACAATTATTTTTCACAGGTTCCACACTAAAGAGTATTCTATGAAATAAAATATGTAACACTGATTCAGTGGTTTTATAATATTCAAATATGAATACATTAGTGCCTTACTTTGATGAACTTCTAACATGAACTTGTGAAAATGGACCCGCTGTTTCTTCTCCACTGGGCACTGATCATGAAACAAATCCATCAACATTGTTTTACCACAACCTGTATCAAAATGTTACCACATTTTACCACAAATATATATTAATGCAACATTTTTCAAAAATTGTATTTATGTTATATTTAACTGTAACCTGTACCAACATAACATTTCACCATAGCTTGTAATGTATAACATTTTTCTACAACTATTCTCATGATATTGCTAAATAGCATTGTACCAATGTAACATTTTAAAACAATGTATCAATGTGACATTTTATCACATTTTGCATCAACATATAACATTTTACCACAACTTGTATCAAAATATCATTATACTATAACCTGTATAAATGATACATTATACCACAACCTGTATCAAAAAAAACATTTGACCACAACTTATATCAAAATTAACCACACCTCTTATCAAAATATAACATTTAAATAAAATGTATCAATGCAACATTTTGCTAAAATTGTAACAATGTTATATTTAACTATAGCCTGTACCAATATAACATTTTACCACAGCCTGTATAAATGTAACATTTTACCACAATTTCTATCAAAATATAACATTTAATTACAACCTCTATCAATGTAACATTTTACCACACTATTTACCCATGTTACATTTTACCCGAACCTGTAACAATGTAATATTTTACCAGACCCTGTAACAATGTAACATTTTACCAGACCCTGTAACAATGTAACATTTTACCAGACCCTGTAACAATGTAACATTTTACCAGACCCTGTAACAATGTAACATTTTACCACAACCTGTCTCAGTGTAACATTTAACCACAACCTGTATCAATGTTACATTTACCACAACCTGTAGCAATGTAGCATTCAACCACAGCATGTAGCAATGTAATATTTTACCACAAACTATATCAATGTAACATTTACCACAACCTGAATCAATGTAATATTGAACCACAGCATGTAGCAATGTATTGACAGTCTGTATTAAAGAAACATTTTATCAAGACCTGTATCATTGTAAAATTTTACTAATTTAAAAGTGTGGTGGCATGGCCAAGTGGTTAATGTGTCAGATGAGTGATTTAAAGAATTGATGGACGCATGTATTCAAACCAATAAGGGGCAGTTGTTGTTTCCTCCAACAAGAAACTTTACACTTATTGCTTAGAACTTTTTGGTTCCAGAAAAGAATTTGAATGTGCGTCTCTAAACTTAAAGCTTTCTACACAATCAAACTATAATAATAATATCTGTATAAAATAAAGTAACATAACAAGAATGGTCAGATTGGCAGTGTTTGTGTAACTATTCTCATAGCTTAACCATAAACCTGCAGTATTTATGTAATGAATTTGCCCCGTTTTGAATTAGAAATAGTCCAAATGAAGTTTCAAGATTTAAATTTCAAAACATAAAAGTTGAGTTACTAATAGCACAGTCTGGAAACAATATGGTACATGTATCTCATCGACAGTGCAAACAAGTCTGATATATATGTATAAGTTATCAGTTGTTTTTCTTAATTACATTACTATTAAGTTTCTAAGACATTTAGACATTATCCTTATAATATATAAAGAAAATATTTGATTTTGACTCCAAGGTGGAGGCATTTTTTACCCTAAGTGCATAATTTATTAAACTTAATTAAGGTCTATTAAGCAATGATATATGCCAAATATAGAGACATATAGAGAGTATTTATCCATAAAAAAATAAGATGATTGTGTTTTCCTTAACCTAAGCTTTCGAGATTTAGTTTCACAAAATGAAACTTTGTAGTTTCACAAAATGAAACTTAAATATGTTTTGCCATATAAGTTAACTATGTAAATGAAGTAATCCCTGGGGCAAACCAATTTTAATTTCAGGAAGCTCAAACCTGTGTTCTGCACATCGTCTAAGTATAAGCATTATTTCTGCCAAAATGTTTTTACCTTCCAATCAGTTCAATAGATACAGAGTGGACATGAAATTCTGAAACTGATAAAGAATGACTGAGAGTGACCTTGACCTGATAAAGGTTAAACCTGCGCTCTGCTCATTGTCTCATTATGGTTGACCTGTCTGCCAAGTAGAATCAATTTCCTACCACCGGTTCAAAAAGATACAAAACGGACAAATGCATACAGACCAATATGTGTCAAAATTTTTTCAGGTGTAATAAATAATTATCATATTTACCAACACTTCCATATAAGTACAGTCCTTCTGGTGCAGAAATTTTTTGTTGACCAAAGATCTGGAAGAGATTTTTCCCATTTAATTTTACAATTAAATTGTTAGAATAAAAATATATAAACATATTTAATGACTTTACAGTGTTCGAAATTAGCAGTAGTCCGATAGCCCCTGACTACTAAATTTCTCCTCGGGCTACCAACTTTTTACAGTAACAAGCCCGACCAGACTACAGTATTTTCAGAGGCAATATAAACAACTGTTTTAAACAAATGAATCATGCTAGTGAAATGCCTTTTGGGCTAGTAAATATTCCAATCTGGTAGTCCGACCGGCCTTGTGGATTCAAATCCGAATTTCTTATACTGACTTTAACACTTTGATCAGACAACTTAATTATCATGGAAGTTCCAATACTAATGTATTTACAGTAATTTTTTGGAACATTAAAAAAAGCCCCGACTATGGCTTTCTGAAGGGGAAAATATTGCATAATAGATAAAAGAAACCCCATAGAGTCTCATCTGAAATCAAACATCAACAACTGAGCATGGAACATAACCACACATTTAATTAAAAAAACTTATACATAGAACAGCAGCATACATTTGGTACATGGAACAGTTTAAGCTCATACTTCGATTTCTACACAATCTTTATATCAGCATTCAGCTTATTTGTGTATATCAATAAAAATGTTTTTTATCCGAGTTCCATTTAGCATGCAGTTACACTGCTGTTGCATAACTTGTTATTTTATAAATGTTAATTTTTTCTAAAGAAGACAATATGTTGAAAGCTACAGAAAATCATTGTTTTTATTGAAATGATTACTTACTTGTATCTACTGTATATACCTACACTGGCCACCCACTATTACATACCATCTAGTCTTGAAATATATAATTATAAATACCTACCTACACTTCTTGCTATCTAGTCTTGAAATATATTATTAGTTTACATACATTGTACTGATTCAGCACATTTTTTCTGTTTGCAACACTCGCCTGTGTACCAAACAAAATCACTCATACTTCAATATTTATATGTCAATAAATTACCTTTTCCATAAAAGCATTAGATTTTGTTGGAGGTTTGTAATCCAAGAGTTGAGCATTTAGTCTATCAAGGGAAGCAACTATTGTCTTCTGGTACTCATCTTCAGTTAGTTCCCCTTTGTTTACTCTAGACATATACACAGACATCGGAGTAGCTGCTTCATTTTGAACTGAAACATAATTTTAAAACTTAATGTATCATACTTAAACAACAGTTGTCACTGATTGAAAGCAAACATCAAACAAGAGCTGTCAGTAGGACAGCAACGCTCAACTATTCTTAGTGCTTGATTGTAAAAAAAAAATGCTTGATACAGTTACCTCCTCCTGTTTACAGGTTGGGGTAATGATGGTGAACAAGTGTGCAAAGTTTCAAAGCCAAATGTCAATGGACTTTGAAAATATTTGAGGTATTACAAAAACTTTAACATAAATTCGAAGTCGAAAAAGGGGCATAATTCTGTCAAAATGCTTGATACAGTTACCTCCTCCAGTTTACAGGTTGGGTAAATGATGGTGAACAAGTGTGCAAAGTTTCAAAGCCATATGTCAATGGACTTTGAAAATATTTAAACTATTACAAAAACTTTAACATAAGTGGTTACGCCAACGCGGACGCCGACGCTCGGGTGACTACAATAGCTCTACTTATTCTTATCGAATAGTCGAGCTAAAAATATTTTCAGAGAACGTGTAGCTTCTAAATCCACTTTGCAGGCAACATTTTTCTACTCATCCTGCATAGAATTCTCTTAAATTCAATTTCTACTCATAATTACAAGAGGAAGAATGGAATGGTTTGTGGTAACATTTCACAAACATGACAAAAAAGTTTGTCCAAATTATCATCTTTTTGGAGCAAAGTAAAACAAAGGTTAACCAGCTATCAGTATCTTTTAACACAGGAATGAGTTTGAGGTCATACTCTTTGTCTCTGCACTTTTGATATATGCTCTTCAGAATATTTTCAGACCTAAAAAAAAATTAGCCCATTTGTATCAAAACAATTTACAATGCAACATCGAAAAATGACGCTGCAGATTACTGAACAAAGGCACCAGTCGGTTGCCTCTATACAACCAATCTGCAAGCTTGTTTTCTAATAGAAGCATGAGGCCTCACACAGGGTGAAATAGCATTATTTAGTATAGATTTATTTGTGCTGTTGGAGATGGTGTACAAATAAAATGTTGGGAAAAAAATTAATGTTCACGATCAAGGATAGTTAAAATTCGCTTTTTCTGACTCAGACGTTCACGTGTACTGGAAGTGTTATCTGATATCTATATCTAGCTTAAAAGAATTCCAAAATGGCAGCATCATGTTAAAGTTCTAAGGATTTTTAAAGATTTGAATTTATTTGTTAATATACTGGTTGGGGACCACCAAAACCGGACAACCACCAAACCCGGACGGCCCAGACAATGCTTAATTTAGTATTTTCTTTGTTCAGTGGTTGTTAGTCACTTTTTTATCAACAATAAATGCATAAATAAATACATTTATTTCAACCACCGTAAATGGTAATAGCGAGCTCGACGAGCTGGTCCGAAGGGCCTGCTCACAAAGCGAGCTTTACAGATGCGAGTACCAGCTAAGTGATGGTTTGAAAACTATCGTCCGAAGTACTGAATTGGACACATCGCAACTTTTCGAATTTAAAGATAACGATAAAAACTGAGGAATTCTGACTGAAAACGGATGTGTAGACTGGTCACCCGCGCATGTCTATGGGAACCATAATTAGACAGGGAACCAGAATAAAGGAAGCTGTGTACAGTCTTTCCGAAAGACCGTCGGACCGTCAGCCCTGACCGGTAAAAAATCAGAAGGTCCGATAAAAATTTATGTATTGACGGCCCGACGGTCCGGTAAAAAATTAAGGTTTTATAAAAACCTTACATTCAACATTTTGCAAAGGCCGATCATTTACCTTAATTCAAAACATATCAAAGTGTTGTCATTACACAGTGGTGTCATTACACAATATAAGCTCTTGCAATGCTTGTCAACTGTTATGCATTCTCATAATGCAATCTTTTATGTAACAACGTAAGATAAAAATATCCGACAACTAGTACAATTAAAAGTAAATAAGCGGCCGGTTAAATTACATAAGCGGCCCAGATGTGAAAGGTCACCTGCTATTAGTTTGTTTACACAGATAAAAGTGTCAGTGTATTAATTGGAAAAATATTCGTCATTAAAGAGTAATGCTAAATTACACATGTGCTCAACTGGTGTTTAGCAGCGAATTAGGGATATGAAAGATCGTCCAAGATGTTGACAAAAATTAAACTGTACTGTGAAGGTACCAAACGATTAATCTGTCAACTTCACTGAATTATCGATATATATAATTCTGTTTACATATGCCAGACTTTTGCTGAAATTTACCCTCTCATTTTGCTAGTATATAGTCTGTATGGAATTAAAGTTTAAATAGCAAAATCCATTGAATACAAGTATAACAATATTTATGTTTACATTTTGATTGTGGTGAAAAAAGATAACTTCACTTCGTTGATAATATAATTTTCTTTTTGTATACAAATTTTTTGACTGCTGAGTGCTGACACTTATCAAGTGACTCAAAATGCTATACCAATCAGGTTTTTTTTCGGTCCAGTAAAATCATGTTTGGTCCAGTAAAAAATTTCAGTTTACAGGACCTACTGTCCAGTAAAACTCAGAAGTCTTTCGCATAGACTGTGTGTATAAAATATCAAATGACAGTTTTAAAACGGAAAATGTAAAATGAAAATTGAACGATTATTTTAACCGACTTTTCTCATTCATAAGTTTTACCTGATTTCATTAAATGTACATTTACCTCCTTTTTTTTGAAGAAACAAAACAATCTAACACTATTGGAAATTTATCTATATAAACAAAGAAGGCCCTAAGCATGCATTATTCTACAACAATGCACTCGCCGGTCTTATTATCTCCCCATGTAATCACATTGATTAAAGGCGCCATTTTGTTTGAGAAATATGATAAATAAAAACAATTCTTTTGTCGACATTTATTGTGAAAACTATCTAGTATATAAAGAAAATGGTCTAACTAAGAAAATGAATACGAACACCAATATCTTTTATTCAGTCGTTAACGCTGTACAGACGTTTATCTTTTTTATATTATCTATTCGTGGAACAAATGTTTTCAGCTGTATTGTATAAATAGTAGTGTGAGACCGTCATTTGAAGCGTCTTGCGTCAGAGACCTGCTACAGGTTTCTCCAACATGGAAAAAACTAGAAAACTGATGATTTTTGGGGGGAAATTGATAAATTTTCTGGATTTTACGATTATTTCCACAGTTTTTCTGTGTTTTTTTATCTTTTTTTTGCCGCATTTCTTTTATTTTTTTAATGGAGATGAAATGCTCTGCTAAATAGCCATGGTTTCGGATATCGACGGAAGTTGCAAGCGTCGCTTCCATCCGTTTTAATGATTCCATGAGAATACGAGAAACCTCAAGAATACGAAAAACAGGGATAAACAGTTAAGTATTATCCTAGTTTTACTGTTTACATAAATTAAATTTGACAAAACATACAACTCCCTACAGTCATAGCGAGGTCGACGAGCTGGCCCGAAGGGCCTGCTCGCAAAGCGAGCTTTACGGTAACGCGAGTACCTGCTAAGTGATGGTTTTGAAAACTTTCGTCCAAAGTACCGAATTGGACACATCGCAACCTTTCGAATTTAAAGATAACGATAAAAACTGAGGAATTCTGACTGAAAACGGATGTGTAGACTGGTCACCCGCGCATGTTTATGGGAACCATAATTGGACAGGGAACCAGAATAACGGAAGCTGTGTATAAAAAATGAAAATCGAAGGCGCCATTTTGTTTGAAATCTGATAAATAAAAACAATTTTTTTGTCGAATTTTGTTTTGACAACTATCTAGAATGAAAGAAAATGGTCTAACTAAGAAAATGAATCCGAACACCAATATCTTTTATTCAGTCGTTAACACTGTACAGACGTTTAAAGTATTGTTTACGTGACGTCACAATGTAGCGCCAAACAGCACGTGCAAAACAAACAAATCAAGTACGCTATTTTAATGTCGCAAACGTTTTAAGTTTAACATTTATTTCACTTTAAATAATCTTTATTTCGCTTGAAAAATTATAGAGTGAAATAAAATAAACAAAGTTTTATCAACAATTTCAAAGCTTGTTATTCATTTCACGACAGGGGCGGAGCCATATTTAACACAGTACGTGTGACGTCACACGCACTCATTACTGCATTTGAAATAAAAATGAGCAATTATTCATACTATTTCACGTAAAAAGTGCATCGAGCTCGCTTTGAGGCTTTGCCTTTTTCATATTATATATTTTTCCTAGGCCATCATGTAAATATTTGTTTGGTCTTGTTATGAAAGGAAAACATAAATTTGACAAACTGTCCAGTTATTGAGACATATCCGAACTGATGCCAGTTTAAGCGTAAAAGTACGTGTCCTTGATTATTTTTGACTGGAAACTAACGAGATACCTCCAGATTCTCGTGCACCAGTAAGTAAATATGTCTTGCAAATATCAATAAGCTTTTTTCTCCGTTTGAATAAAAAGTTTCGTCCATTCATGTCTTTTTTATTCTATAAAATAAAATTATGAAATTTGTTGTTGTTGTCATAAGTTATCGCCCTTGATATATTTTTGTGTCGTAATATCAATTATTTGTAGGATTCAAACATATCCAAACACCGCTAAATTTGTTGCAGTGTCGACATGGAGCTACATATAGAAAATAAATAATCCTAAAATAAATATTTTTTCTTTTGATTTGGAAAAGTTCTTGTAGAGCTTTATATGGGCAACATTGTCTGTTTACTCAATTTTCAAGATAGTCTAAATAGCAACAGGTCGGTAATTTATAGCTCTTTCTCTATCTATAGTATACTGCAATACTGTGGCAGATTTTGGGTGGGGGGAAAATCCCGGGATCGCCTATAGAAAAGCCGGGATCCGGGATCGTATTAAACATATAGTAATCCCGGGAATTGACCACCTGCTATCGGTGTGATCGATAAATTATCGATTATCTCATGCCTTTTGTCAAGGATATGCTTGTGATATGAAATGCAGACAGGTTTAATGTTGTTTATTTACTTTTTTAGTCTTGATGGCTATGATATAATTTTGTAATTTAATGATTTTTCGCGCATACATACGTACAGTAAAACAAATGTTCTGGGGACACCACTTTGTTTTTTATGATAGAATTTTAATATAAACACATAATAATATAAGTAATAAGAAAAAGTAAATGCCAATTGGTAAAAAAAAATCATTTATTGAAATATAAATTGCATTTTATACATGTATTTTTATGTATTAAATATACATGTATTTTCATATAACAGTAATGCAGGTGTCATTGGTAAAAATTATCGATTAGATCTAAACCCCTGCATTTTTACAGAGATGTGTAATGTTATGTCAGAATTCTACAAAGGAATTGTAAAGAAGAATTGTGTTTATTTTTCTGACGGAGTTGGTTTTATTTGTTGCGATGATTTCGAGATATTTGACTAAGATGACACGTGCCTTGTACAATATTAGAGTAGAGACAACTTTCTGGTGAAACGAAAGTGTGAATGCTACGTAAAGTGAGATATTTAGTGTTTTTTTTTTCCTCGCTCTTATTTTTATTAAAATACACTTTGTTTGATTTATCACGGAAACAAATGACTTTTGTGTAAATTTCTGGTTTTCCTAATTAGATATAGATCTCCATAGTGATTTCCACTTGCCAAACATAATCCGACTTGTAATGTTCAAATTATTTTACTCCTATCAAAATATAAGTATATTATACCATTATTGATAAATCACAACAAACGTATCAGTAATGCAGATTGTCAATTTCCCTATTAGATCATTACGATACTTGTACAATAGTTTAGACCGAATATCTTTGAACTCCCTTATCACATTCAGAAAAGCCGGGATCATATTAGATACATGTATATAGAGATCCCGGGAATTGACCGTCTGCTATAAATCACATTCAGAAAAAGCCGGGATCGTATTAGATATATAGAGATACCGGAATTGACGTCTGCTATAAATCACATTCAGAAAAAGCCGGGAATCGTATTAGATATATAGAGATACCGGGAATTGACCGTCTGCATAATAACATTCAGAAAAAGCCGGGATCGTATTATATATATAGAGATACCGGGAATTGACCGTCTGCTTTAAATAACATTCAGAAAAAGGCCGGGATCGTATTATATATATAGAGGTACCTGGGAATTGACCGTCTGCTTTAAATCACATTCAGAAAAAAGCCGGGATCGTATTAGATATATAGAGATCCTGGGAATTGACCGTCTGCATAATAAACATTCAGAAAAGCCGGGATCGGATAAGATATAGAGAGATCCCGTGAATTGACCACTTCCATATCACATTTAGAAAAGCCGGGATCGTATTAGATTATATAGAGATCCCGGCTGTATCGCATTCAGAAAAGCTGGGATCGTATCAGACAATGTGTTAAGTGAAACACGGGATAGTTTAAAAAAATAAATATAATAATGGATATATAAAGAAGGTCAATACAAGTTGGCAATCAATTCATTCTATTATTATATACATGCATTTAAAACATATATCCGTTAGGTAGAAGTAGTTAATTTGAACAAACACATATACAGACATAGAAGAAGAAGAAGAACTTTTATTTGCACTAAAGCCCTAAAGAGAGCCATTGACAAAGCATCAATATATATACATACAAAAAAAATAGAAAAATGGCGATACGTGACAAGAAGTCGAGATGGCATGTGTATTCACGGGAAATAATTCTTTGATAAATGTAAAAGTAGCTCATACAATTTTAAGCTGATTAACTGTGCCATATAAAATTACCAAATCAAAGAGCTTTCAGGGAACAATATTAAACGAAGAGTGGTTTCACATGACATCTCGCTTGAGAGAAGCAGAATAATGTAAATATTACAATACGACAAAACATATTAATGTCTATATAATAATAATATGGTTAACGAGGTTGGATGCTCCTAGATAATAAATATGTTGATATCATTTAAGGATTTTGCTCTTTCTTGGAAAGGGGCGCTATCCACAAATAATACATAGTGCTAAATATGATACATTCACCAACACATAAATGCCCCATTGAAAAACGAAAACGAAAATATAGAGCACATGATGGTGATCTGTACATAAGAACGGAAAGATTAGGAGTCTCCATCAACGGAACCATTTTTAAGGTATCTATGACTAGGTTATCATCAAAAGTACTAAATATTATGCATACACCATAAAGCTTTTGTTTGACCAAAAATATTAAAGTAGTGTTATAAAATGACATAGATATATCTACATATATTTTATCGAGTCACCGTTTTTCATTTTAGATGAGTTAACCCTTGACAGAAAGGGTAAATATCAAAAGCCGGTTATAATATTTATAATGTAAAGCAAACATTTTGTCTTAGTAAGCATAAACCTAGAATTATGCTATAGATATATGTACATGTAAAATTGGCAAATCTACAGTGAATCTATCTGTTGCTGACGTTTAATAAAAGCATGATACGTGTTAATACTGAAATTACGAATATCTGTTACATTTTCTGTACTCATAAGAGGAACTAAATTAAAAATTACTAGGGTGATTCCAATAGTATCTTTTGATATATTTTGTACGAAGTTCTTTAAACATATTACATACAAGTACAAAATAGGACATATAAATAAACACATGTTTCAGTATATTATTTCATTTTAAAGCTGCATGACTCCAGATAAACGAAAATATTTCAAGAAAAATCAAACTTGAGATAAAGATTTTAAAAAAGCAAAACGTTTCGAGATTAAAGTAATAATTTACACAATACTAGTATATATTATTAATGCCTAATTTTGTCTTATTTATTAGCACAGAGATATTTTCGAAGCATAACCAACGCAAATAGAACTGTTTTTTGCATATTTGACCTCTTATTGGTAATTAACGTGGAATGTTAGTGTAAATTAATATCTTTGGTCATAATACATTTCAAATTTTTATGAAAATTAGCATTAATCTGGAGGCGTGCTGCTTTAAAGTTTAAATTAAACAGTACATTTGATTAAAGTATATATGTAGAAAATTGATATGAAAAGAAAATATAAATATAAAATAAATAACAACAAATTAAAACAACTTATTTCAATAATATAGCAACATGAATTAACATACATTTATGAATTGATGTTTTTACATTTTATACATTCCCATTTCCAACCAGTAATTGATCTTTTTCTACTGATACCAACACATCTTAAATGGTACCATCCATTGCATTTGCGATTTTCGCATCCTATTATGTCGTCTATAAAATCTGGCACCGCAAACACATCTGCGTTTTTCTAGCTTCACGACCCTAGGGATGCCCGTAAAAGCTGACGAACGGGTTTTTTGCTCCTCTTTTGGAAATGGGTACATTTTACCATTTTCTAAACATAAAGTTAAATGTTCTCGCATCTCTTCAATTTTGTATGTAACGTTAAAATTAAATCTATTGGGATTATTACAAAATTCAACAGTGTTTGCAATAGCAAATAATCCACAATCGTAAGAATTCGGCTGTTGTTGTATTCTTGGTAATTTAATAGTTAAGTTTTTTACATTATATATTTGACACAATTGTATTTGCACATTGAATTTCAAATGTTTTAATTTCTCTGACATACTATCTAGATAATACACACAACCCGACTCATGCGAGAAACTGCATGTCCAATGACAGTTGCCGTCAAAGTGAATCTGAGTACATGGCGGAGTTGCTGACTGAAATTTTCTGTCTGTATTCCATGTTTTGTCGTTATCTATATAATACGGAGTTATTTTTGTGTCTTAAAATCCTTGAATGTTTTTGTATTGTTTCGAAAGTATCGTATTAACTGCGTTCATATGTTTATCAGTGAGCCATTGATTAGATTCAATTATTTCTTTGTCTTGCATACTTAAATCCAGTTCAGGTAACCACGGTACACTGATATCGGAATCATCGCGAAATATTGAGGTAGGCGTTTCATGTAAAATGTCAGTTACAGAAGGTGAAGATATATTTGGTAATTTTAGTATTTTTGGCGGTGTGACAACATGCTGGTCATCTTTTATTTGGTGATTCACTCAACGAAGTTTCTAATTTTATTTTTTTAGGTGTTGGTTCAGGGGTATTTGGCGGACTGTATTTCGTAACACCGTCATTGTTTTCAGCCTTAGCTAATTTCGAGTCTGGAGCAGGTACTATGTTTTCAAAGTCTGATTGTTTTTGTTTTTTCTGTCCGAGTCTTCGTTGAGTCTTAGGGCGGTTTTTGTATCTCATTAGACTTATCAATCTTCTTTCTTCTTTTTTCTCAATGTTTGTTATTCCGATGCTACGCTTTGCGGCGATTATGTGGTAACATGTACCTGTTGCCGGGCACTGACACTCTTCTTTGGGGAAAAGTGTTTATTTGTATTACGTTTTCTTTTTTATTGTCACAGTGTTCTGTTTCGCTTTTTATGTCCAATTCAGAAATTGCAGTTTGCACAACATTATATATTTCATCTTCTTTCACTATTTTATGAGGAAATTTTAAATCTTTTAAATGAATTTTT